TTTAAGTAATTTTAAACTGTTTGTCCTCGTTTTAGTGTAGTGTTTTGTACAATTTTATGTTATTTTTAATGTTTCCACATTCTACGCTTGCCGGATAGTTTACATTTTGACGAAGTAAGTCTAAAACGTTAATCTCAAAAACTTTTTTTCATCCATTAACTTCGAGTTTTTTATCGAAGTTAACTAATTTACTTCATCTAAAAAACGTTTTCTTGGCTTATTTTAGATGCCCCTGAAGATGCTATTTTAAGCGAAAGTACTTGGGCTAGATTTAATTAACTTGTGCTCGATAATAGCCTTATTTTCAAACTTCATTTATTCGAGCATTCAACCTCATTTCATTCATAGATAAAACGTCCTAAGAAAAAACCAGGCAAAAATATTAAATTCAAATTTGTCTTAAGTTTTAACAACCGATACTTCTTCGTGCTGCTTCGTGCTCAGCAGTAATTGAACATCAGTCTGATTGATATTTACACAATATAAAAGCCAACCGTGGAGGCAAATCATATATTAAAGTGTTTTCACTCTTTTTTGATAAATAAATAATTGAGAGAATTCTATATTTTACAAATATTTGAAATGAGCAACATAGATTTGAGAAAAAATTATTAGCATATGTATATTATCTGGTTCACACTCTGCTTGAAGGTAATATGCATTGGTCAAAGGATGAGGATAAAGAAATACACATTATGAGAGAAAGCATGAGCCGACATAGATTTATATTATAATTTATAGTGGCGAAGAAACCGTTACAATAGTTTCAAACTAAGTACATAGACGTCAATCTAAATTTACTTTATCAGACGAAATCAAATTCGGCAATATTGGCCACATTACAAAAGCAGACGATAGTACAAAAATGTAGGATGGGCAAACGTAATACTGTTTATTTATGTAAAAGTTGTAGAATGCATCTACACCCCATATGTTTCAAAAATTGTCTTCTTCTAAATGTCCTATCTTCTAGAGATGTTGGAGACCACATTGACACATCTTATTCTAATCACAGTAGCTCGAAATAGATTAGTTAACGTTAGACCAGTCGATTTCTTAAGATTTACCAGCCAGGATATACGCCTACGTCCAGTGCCTCTCTTACCTTACTCAATCTTGCCCTGTAGATACAACTGTAGAAGTCGGTATTTATGGCCGAAGTAAGCCAATTTTCTGTTTCTTATGGTGTTAATAATTTCTTTGTCTTTCCTTAGCCCCTGGAGAATAGGTATGTAACTTGCGTGATGTATATATGAAACCCTCAACATACGTCGGTAGCACCACATTACAAATGCCTCCAATTTTTTATGACATCTTCTGTACGGCTTCAACTTTCTACTCCATAGAAAAAGGCACTAAAGAAGTAACATCTAAGAATTCTTATGCGTATATTGATAAAGATAAGTTGCAGATAATCTTCCTAAGGCTGTAGAAACAGCTTATGGCTTTTTCAGTACGAGATTTTATTTTGTAGCGGTGACTATAAGTGTCCTTAATATTGCAGCCCAAATAGCGTATTTTTTCCACTATTTCTAATGGTGTATCGTTAATTGTAATTTGGGTGTTTGTGCCGGTGTTCTTACTAATGCTCATTATTTTTGTCTTATTGCAATTTAATTTTAGGCCGTATTTATTACATGCTTGTACAACGTTATCCATCATCCTTTGGAGGAGCTCATTATCTGCCAGCAACACTGTATCGTCTGCATATCTAATGTTGTTTATAAGTTGGCAATTTACAGCAATCCCGTCTTCTGATTCGTCCAAGGCGTCTTTAAAGATGTTTTCAGAGTATATGTTAGATAATGCCGGTGACAATATGCAACTCTGTCTAACTTCTTTTTCGACAAGATCTCGGACAGTTTGTTTTCTAATCGTACTGTTGCTTTTTTTGGAGATATAAGTTTGAGATCAGTCTTATATCCTTACCATCAAGTCCTGATGTTTTAGGTTATTGATTAGTTTTCCATGAGGGACTTTATTAAATGCCTTGTCGAAATCAATTAAACGTGCATACACATCGCAGTTGACATTTCTGGCTCTCTGTATTAGAACTTGCAGACTAAAAAGTGCTTCCTAGTTCCGACTCCTACTCTAAATCCAAATTGAACTTCACTCAGGTGTTCTTCTAATTTGGTGTATATGCGCGAGTGAATGATAGTAAGAAGTACTTTAAGTACATGACTCATCAAACTAATTAATCTATGTTCTTCACATTTCATAGCGTTGGCTTTTTTTATTAAGTGAAATGAATATTGATAGTAGCGAGTCTTTTGGAAAGTAACCAGTCTCGTAGATGTTGAATAGCTTCGTAAGAGCTGTGATTTGGTGTACTTCTAATAGCTTCTAATAATTCTAATAGCGAAAATTTTCACCTTGAAATTTTATTTAATTTACATTTAAAATACAATATGTTCTGTTATTAAAAATTGTACGTTTATCTTGAAAATTAGAAGAAAAAAATCTTTTTGGTTGTAAACTAGTCTTAATTTGTGTCTTAATGTGTTTTAATCCAATCTAATAAATTAATTGTCAAATTTCTCTATGTATATTGAGCGGCCGTTAATGGGTAATACTATATAAAGAATAAACTTGCCTCAAATTTACTTTACTTACCTCAAAACTCATTTACTATTTAAAGTTAATAATAAAGTCTGTTTATTAAAATAATTCCCAGGAAATAAAACACACTACGCCTATGCAAAGATATAATGTTTAACGAATAAACTAAAGTATCATATTTCTCTTATTCTTATGCTTCTTAAGAATGTAAATATATATAGACCAGCAAAATATTGATAAGTTTACCGATGTTTTAAACTATTCGATAAACTTGTCTCACTATATACTAGTGAATCGCACCTATTTATATTGTTACGGGGGCAAATTATATGAGGACTATATTACTTTTTTACTTATTTACATGGGCGAAGTATACACAATAAAAATGACCCGTAAGAATTTACTGCTGACATTTAACATGGTTACTAGCACCAAACTAGCGTGACATGTAAGTGAGAGCGCCCACCAAAGTGGCGTGGCAGTGGCAAGTAGTAAGTAGCACGCGTCTAGCATAATGTAACCAATGAAAACGAATGATTCAGTTTACATCAAAATGACAGTGACGTCATTCATTCTAATCATTTGTTTGGATTGGTTACATTATGCTAGACGCGTGCTACTTGCTGCTTGCCACTGCCACGCCACTTTGGTGGGCGCTCTCACTAACATGGCAGTGACATAGCACGGACACGGCACTAGCATGTCAGGTAGCACACACTAAAGTAGCATGACATTAAAAAGCAAGTTACATACAAAATATCGCCCTTTTAAGAAATCTCACTTTTATGATCGTTTCTATATTTCTTTCCCCATTTTTTGTGTGTGAACACGCTTGCCGTTTCCTTCGTCGTGACCTCATCACCGGTTTTTTACTAGCTTTTTTCCTTTCTCGATGCTACCGAGCGCGAATTGTCTGAAATTGCCATCCGTGTCTTTGGTGACTCTCTCGAGTTTTTTTATTTTATTTTTATTCACAACCTTCGTATTTGTATGGTGGGACATTAGTTTCAATAAATTATTTGTAACGCTGGTAATTTTCTCCATTGCTCTTACCATGGGCCTTAGGTCAAAGCTCTCCTTCTCCTCCTCAGATCTTTTCTCTCCAAATGAGATGCTCCTTTGCAACGTTTGCTCCCTTGGAAGATCCTTATTGATCAGGTGACGACTCCTGACTAAAAACCTTCCAACAAATCCTCATTTTCCTTAGATCATAATCTTCTCCTTCCTCTTTTCCTTTTTACTAAGGATTTTACCTATGATCCCTTTCCTGCTATTGTACTCTATATCATCCCATTCACAGCTTGTTTCAATTTGCTCCAAGTTTCTTTGTTTTGTTTGATTTTTTTGCCTGGTTAAGTACTTTTCCATATAATTCCCACGAATAGGGACGAAATTGTATTCTCCGGCGAGGCAGTGCGCCCTTACCCACGCTAAGGCTTAAAATACAGCGGAGGTTCGCCAGTTATCTGAAGGCTCCATTTGCTGCCGTCTGACAATTGGGCACAGATAGCCTGACACCGTGTGATTGCGGATTTTTTTTTCTCTTCTGAGCGGGAATGTCATTTTATGACACTGATAGACGGCTGCGGTAACACTGCCTGGCGCCTTGTATTGGTGTAAAAAAAATTAATAATAATACTCACAATCTTAAGCAGATTTTTGTTGTTCTAGAGTTATAAGCCTACCGGTTTCGAGGCTTACAATATATGCTACATTATCAGGTCACAGTATATAGGTCTCTGTTCTTACAAAAACTGTATAAACCTAAAGGCTAAAAACAATGAACACTTAATATAAAACAAAAATGAAAATCATAATTAAATTAAGCCAACAACTATAATCTTAATTAAGTAAGATAACTGATACTATATATAATGTTCATTAAATGAGAAATGTAAAATGGATTTAGCGATATAATCGACACAATGTACAATATATTAAGACATCAACGGCATAGGCTGTAACCAGTCTGATGGAACCTGTACAATATAGTTAGTCAATTATTAGATAATAGATACAGAGTTTGTAGGTCTATTTTTAAAATAAAAATGTTCAAAGATAAACCGATATGGATATATAGTTAAAGATAAACCGATAAAAAGTTATCATATTAAAAAAGTCTCTTCTAGTATGGATAATTTTGTAGCTCACCACCCCCTCAAGGTCTTAATTATTACCTCTAATTACTCAAGTATGTTAATATTTATTTTTACACTGTATATGACCAATATAAATATAGTAGAGAGTTTTTCTTTATAAATTTAGTTGCGGTTGCCTAGGCAAAAAATGGTAGAAAAATTGAACATCCAGACGCTTGCAATTGCGCTTTTTGGATGTAATTGGATTTTACTCATTGACATCAGAAAAAGCATGTAGCTAACTGGAATTTTAGAGGTAGAATACATACTTATATCAAAAATTATGGCCATTAAGTAAATATTTATCACTTTTTTAGCGAGAGTGGTAATTGTTATTTATAATAGTAAATTACAAATCTTAAATTTATTAGCAAAAAAATAATAAATGAAGAATATTTATTCAGTTTATACTAAAAATATATTACAAAAGATTTTAATCTCTATCGCCGCAGTTAGTTATATCAATAAGTTCTGATGGGCATTTAACTTCATAGAATGTTGCACTTGGATTCGAAACTCCTTCTAAATATTCAAATCTCCATTTGCATCCATCCTGCAACTGAACTGGCAATTGATCACATCCTTCAATTGAGGTAACTCCACCATAACGCTCTCCCCAGCCATCAGCGGGAGCATTCCATTGTTTAACACAGCCGTTGTAGAGACCAACGCCGCCACCAGGTATTTGGAGATCAAATTGATTGTTTACTAAATCGCTGCCGGTATTAATTGCTTGTACCAACAGTTCTTTACCTTTAAGTTGGTCTTGGAACTTTAGAAGGTAGCATTGACAACAATGGCCGGTATCTGTACTTCCTAATAGAAATTACAAAAATGTGTATTAGATAATTATATACATAAAAGGTGTAAGTAAATAAGTGCCATAAACTTTGGGGAATAATTTTGCAAAATAAAATAATAAGAGTTTTCTATATAAATGTATGTCCGCAAATGCTTCGTTTTCGAGATATGCGGCGTTGATAAACTAAAAATTTATTTATTTCTCTAAAACCGTTTGAGATTTGACAATGAAAGTTGGTGATTTGTAAAAGGTGGTTATTGCTCCTTTTTTTGGCAAACAAATAAAAGTTTTATATTTGTCATTAGCGCGCATATAGGTAACGGTCTCAGTTTTTTTAAAGAAAACGATGAGATTATTCAAACTAAAAATTATTTTTAAATATATTGTTTAATTTGTGACAAAAAAACTTTTTCTGTCTGTTTTGACAGTCAGTTTTTAGTCAATTGAACTAGTTTCATTAACGTTTATCTCAATAAATACACATTATAAATTAGTGTTAGAAAAGGTAAAATGGGCCATATTGTGCTTCACCCCTTTCAAATCACTAGGGCCTGACGGTTTACACACTGGGGCTAGCAGACACACTTTTATGTAATAAGTGTGAACGAGAAGACGACACTGTAGAGCATGTCCTATGTGAACGCCCGGAGTTATCGTTAATACGAGAGTACACGTTCGGCGAGTCCAGGCCCACACCTGCCCACATAAGGGAGATGTCTCCTGGTGACTTGTCTACCTTGCTAGAGATGGCAGCATGGACAATGAGCTAAGGCGGCAGTTCTCTGGGAGGATGCATAATAGGTTAATTGTGGCCTAAGTGCTGTGGAACTTAACTCGCCTTCCTTACTCTACAGATACAGAAAATGTAACAAGCATTTATAAATTAATTGGCCTGTTAAAGCTGATACAAGCGGGGAAAAATATATAATTTTTAAGGTCCAAACAGGCATGCAGATGCTTGGAGTTTTGAAAGCAATAAATAACAGAAACAAAACAGAAACAAATAAAACCAAAAATAACAATAAAATTTCGCGTCTTATAAAAGGGACCGAGAAGAAGATAGCCAGTGTGAATCGTCTTTTTCGTTCACATAAATGTGTAAAGACTTGCTACAGTAACACTGTTTGGTGGTATACATACGTTTGGCTAATCTACGTAGTGTACCTCAGTGATATGTCAGAATAATCTAGGACTGAAGTTGCAAGACATTTCGAAATGTACATGTCATTTTCTCCTTGCTTCATTGAAATATTTTAAAAATGAAATACATGAATTTATTTCAGATTGAGTGCCAAGTATTAAGAATCTTATTTTCCCGCCTTATTAGAAGACTGAAATAGCGAATCAAATAGGGGGTCTTAAAACGATAACAATGACTGACTACCACATGATATTTTGACTGAAATTAAATATCTTGTTAATAATAAATGTAGTGAAGGTAATTAAAAATACCAGTTAAATACATTGATACATCCACTGAAGAAGGTATATAAGCTGAAGAAGAGGAAAGAAAGAAGGAAAAAGTAAAACAGCAGCAGCTGTAGAAAGTAAAGGATCAAGCAGTAGCTGCAGTAAGAGAAACACCCGACTTTTATATAGCCAAGGATAAAAACTTATACAATAAAACTCCATTTCATCAACATCAAACTACATTTCATAATATAGTGTGGTCCTGACTAAAATTCCGAAGACTATCAATAGGCGTCACTTAGACCTCATTAAAAGATATTTGCAGTAGAAATGGTAGGTGTTATTGTTCAATATACAGATAAAAAGTCTTTGTCGCTGTACGCAGCTTGCAATGTACCAAATTCTAGTTTGCGAGAATAAAAATATTACATAAAATGTTTATTTGCATTGGTGTAAATAATTCTATGATTGATCATACAAGTAATATGTGGCATTAAAATTGATGTATTTTGAGGAAAATATCTAACCTTACAAAAAACTTAAATAAAAAATTTATTGCATTTTGTCAAACTAAGAATCTACAAGGCAGTTTAAGACCTATTATTAAAACATATACCTAAAAAGATTATTAAAACAGAAACACGAAACAACAGAAGATTAAGGAAAATAAAAAAAAATAAGAATAAATCGTAAAATAGCTGTTATATAAAAAAATAGTCGTGAGAATCACTTATGGTAAATCACCAGTAAGAGATTGAAGCGTAAGCTCTCCCAAAAGCCAACAACATCTCTAACAAAGTATTGTTGACTGCTCATTTTAACATCCTTTAACATAGCCCTCGATGGTTCTAAACAGAATCCTGAAGGCAAATCTCCAGCATAGTAAGATGGTTTTGACAAAACTTATTGTGCTATGACTAAGTTCGATATAGCTTTGATACAAGAGTCCTGGTTTTACAAAGACAAAATGCGAGGTGGACGTTAGTGGAAAGCTTAAATATCTTCCAAAATTCCGAGGACCTGTATAATAAACAAACGTCATATCAAAACAAAACATATTGCCTATCTATCTATCTATATAACGAATTTTACAGCTGTCGCCGCCTTTCTTCTTTCAGCCAACGTCTTCAGTCCTTTCTGTTCTGCCATTCTCCATCTCTAAGGTCTCGTCTTTCCATGGCCTCGTCCACTTCATCCCTTTATGATCTTTGAGGTCTACCCCTTTTCCTCCTACATATAACATATTTCCATCGTTGGAAAATATGAAGGAGATAATTATCGGATAAGCATACGTCTTATATGGTTTAACCACAGTGGGGATTATCAGATTAGTATACTTCCCATATAATTTACCAAATAACAAAAAAGTTAAAACAGCCATTGAGGGATTGCTTCAAAAATAAATTGGCTGTGATGCGAATGTCCACTATCTAAGCTGGGGTAGTGTACACACTAATGAAAAAGGTAAGTCATTCATTAACCTAGGAAATAAGCGATATTTCGTAAATTTACAATGAAAGGAAGTGAATAATGTAACACTGGCCACTACCTACATGCTAGAACTTTTAAAAATTGCCTTAAAATCAGATGAGGTGTCTTATTTAGACCACTCTTCAAGAATATCATTCAGGTCTAAAATATTGTTACGGCAAGATTGAGAGACCATAAGGTATACGTTAAACTTTGACAAAGAGGTTGTCATGTCAGTATTCAAAAACAACTGTCCCGAGATAGTAAAGTACTCCAAGGAGTACCTTAAGAGTAACTGGGTGGTATGACAACCTTGCAAATCAAAGTTCAAAAGTCACACAATCAATTTTGTTAAAAAATTATTGTAGATTATTGCATAGTTCTAACTAAATATAATAAGGAACTAAAATGGACAAAAACAAAATCGTGGAGAAGTTATTGGGAGGAAATATAAAAGACTGCAGAAATATCAAAGCTACATAAAGTTTTATCAAAGAACACTCAGTTAAGTATTTCCTTGAACTAAAACGTGTCTGTTAAAACACTCAAAATAGTAAAGAGACTATAAGAACTTTTAATGACGCAGTTTTCTAAGTACCAAACAAAACTGATAACACTTAACACATGGTAGAAAACTGGACTGGACCATGACGGTTCTAGAAAAAACCGGTGTGTGACAGAAAAAGTAAACCAACACCAAATCAAAGGGTAATTAACTCATTTGAGCCACATACATCATCGGGTCTGGACAGGATTTGTCTATTTATTGCTACAGCTAGCTTGGGACTGGAATTCCTATCAAAAGCATATGGTGATCATAGGGTTTCCAGATATGTTCCTTATGAAGTAATTAGTTTACCACGAGAGTGATGGAGGACAGAGTCCTCAGTGTTATAACTGAATTACAGATAAGTCTAGACTTTTTACAGGATTGGGTATAGAAGTAATGATTTCTATAATTATTTAAAAAATTAATCATTTAGAAAATTTAAAAATTACTATTCAACATAAAGAATATAGGTACGTTGGTATTGTAGGAGATTTTTGCAATTTTGCATTGTACAAGAGAAACTAACATGAGGGATTTCAAGAGATACCAAGAAACCAAACACATAATATAGCCAAGAAGCCATGGTACTTTTACCATACTAAGCAAAATATAACAGTGCCGCACTATAATGAGTTTTAGGTTACCGGAAATATACGGCAATTATTGAAATATTTCGGTCTAGAGTCGGCTACTGAAATGCCAAAAAGCATTGTCTGTGACTGAAAAAAAGCGACTCAAAGTTGCATAGATGTCACTGCAGAAATATTCCGGTAAAATACGTGGCAACGTTTATATTATACGGACAGATCCTACTAGGGCTAAAATATTGAGGAACACAGGCAAAAATCAGCTGAGAATATTAACGGTCTTACTTTTTTTACATGCGTCAGCTAAGACGCCTGCCAACTAGATGGACTGACGACCTGAAGAGTGTTAGCAATAACTGGATACAAGCCGCATAAGACAGAAATAGATGAAAATAGCTGAGGGAGATCAATGTCCAGCAGTGAACGCATACAGGTTGATGATGATAATGATGATGGCATGCGTCAGCTCAGGACACCAGCATACAATGGGGCTGCTTCATGGAGACTTAGGCTGCAGACTTTGTAACAAAGAACTTGAAAGAATTAACCATTTATTGCATGGCTACGAGGCATTAGATCGCAGGTAGCAAACACTTTTTCGAAACTACTAAGTAATTTCAAAAATATATAATATCCACTTACTAGATCTGTTCAGGTTGGTATAGAATTCCAGAATACTGTAATTACAGGATAAGCCAAGTGACGGCAATAAGACTGATTTAAGACAGTAAAAAATTTTTAAAGTAAAATATTGGTTTCTACATGGCTAACATCCACTGTAATAAGATATTTTTAAAAAATTTTTTTTGCAATAGTTTTAAATATAAAATTACTTGTGTTGCATATTATGTTAAAATATATTAAAGTTATTTACCCACAAAAGAAACAGCTGCAAATCCATAGGATAATGTGGAATTTATAACGAATGGTACTTGATTACTACAAGTAAAAGCAGGTCCATTTTCATTCCAGCATGTGGACTGTGCATTGTTCTCTTTTGTACTGTAGGTTTCACCGTCCTTTTCACAAGATCGAACAGGTATGCCATTTTTAGTGTGTACAATACCATCCCAGCTGCAGGAAACTCCGCAACAATCCCAGTAGCGGGTGGTTACTGCATCTCCAGAGAGACCTCCTGGTACCGGAATAATTTCTGGAGAGGGTTCCTTTAAGGAAGCTCCAACTTAAAAATTTACAAATTTAATAAAACGCAAGGGTTAATAATTCTCGTTATAGTGTTACGTTAATTAAATAAAAACTAAACTGGTGTTTAAAGTCTTTATGGTACATTATTTTAAATTATCTTTATCTCCGATTTTTAAATGCAGATAAATGAGTTTTTGAGGTTGGATTAAAAAAACTGTATAATATATATTTATCGGATTTTAGATTTAAATCATATGTAAACTATTAACTACGATGATATCTTTTAAAAATAGAGATCTTGAAACTGTCCCTTGAAAAAATAGATATCATTTAAAAACAGAATGTATACCAACTCATAAACATAATATTTTTACCAGTTTTTTTTTTAAAGAATGGTAAAAATACACCCGGGTGCAAAAAAAATCGATCCATTCCTTATTTATTATTTATTTGAAGTTTTCTAATTTTAGAGACAATAAATTACGCATGTAAATTTAGGTGTACAAGAAATAAAATAATATTTTAATACCACTTTTTATATTTTTTAAAACAAATTGGTATTTCAGGTTTTTGTCAAAAAAGGTCTGAAGCAAGTAGATATTTATTGAATGTTGTTTTTAATTCAACAACCATACTAGTGTAGTGATTTGATTTTCAGAACGTGTTATATTTTTATTTAAATATTCTTCCGAAATGTCTCTAACTCCAACAGATACTGCAAGGGCGGTGACTTTAATTCAAGATGGTCGTAGCCAATATTATGAAATGTTGGGTGTTAGTCGATCTTTGGTTCAAAGAGCCCTTCGGCGTTTTAGCGACACCGGCAACTTCACAAGAAGACCAGGATCAGGTCGCAGAAGAGTAACATCCGAAAGAGATGATCGATTTCTGGTCTCATCATATTTGAGAAATCGGAATCTAACTTCAAATTGAAGTTAGATTCCGATTGAACTGACAAATCATCTGAGTGAAGTGAGAAATGGAGTGATGCAGATTGGAGCAATGTATTGTTCTCAGATGAGTCCAGATTTTGTCCAAGGTCACCAGACGGCCGAGAAAGGGTTTGGAGAAGACACGGAGAGCGATATTTTCAATGTAATATTGTGGAAAGAATAAGTTATTAATTAGGGGGCTCCGTTATAGTTTGGGCTGGTATCATTTCAGAAACCCATACTGATTTAGTTATTGTAGATAGAGATTCTATGAATGCTGCAAGATACATAACAAGTATTTTAGATCAGCATGTGGCATCTTTTGTTCCTTTCATTGGACCTAATTTTATTTTTATGGACGACAATGCGCGTCCTCACCGTGCTAGAATTGTCAACCAATATATAGAGGAGGTGGGAATTGTCCGTATGAACTGGCCAGCTTGCAGTCCCGATCTCAATCCCATATAACATCTATGGGATATGATGGGATGACGTCTTTGAGCACGAGTACCTCGTCAAAACAACTTGGCTGAACTTACAGCGCCTCTTCAAAAAATATGGACCAATTTAATCAATTTGATATCCAGAGGTTAATTACCTCAATGCCTAGACGTATACAGGCTGTTATAAGGGCACAAGAGGAAAACACTAGATATTGATTTATTATCAATGTTTTTCGATTTTTCATGGATCGATTTTTTGCACCTGAGTGTATATTTGAAAATCTTAATCAACCTATCAAAACTGCTTAAAATGGCGAACAAAACATTACCAACGAAAAGAAACAAGTAAAACAACTATCCAAGTAATAACAAATTTAAAGATGTCAAACAGAACCATGTGGCTTCAATAGTGATAAATGCATAATGTGATTGTACTAATATGTATTTTAATAATTGTTTGTTTATAAATGTAGGTTAATTTAAATAAATAATTTTAAATTGCCACATTAGATATATACACATAGAATATTGTTCTGAAGGTATTTTTTTGTGGCATTTTAAAGTAATTAAAATTTAAATGGGAATCTTTGGGAGCTACAATTAAAGGTTAAAGTATGTTTATTGACGTTTCAATTTCCACTTCGGAAATCGTTCTCAAAATACTTACATTAGTGAATTAAACAAATTTTTTTTGTTGTTACTGGGTAAAATATTCTTCTAATAATTTAATTTGATCTGATATTGATTTGATTTATTATTGCCGATATTGTTGAGTTTCGTTCCTATGGAGACTTTACTTGTAAGATAGTTCATTCGATTACATGAAATCAACTTTAACTTGAGAATATTCATCAGAAAAAAACCATAGCATATAATTCGTCTTAAAAAGACAAACACATGCCATGATGAGAGTAAAATTCTCCTGTTAGTGAGTCCATAGTAAATTGGGAGAGAAAAACCAGGAAAAAACCTCATAATACTATCCCGACATGGTAAGTATTTGGTCGTGCAATTAGTTTACTTTCAATAAACACCAAATTATGATTTTATATGTTTGTTATTTAAAAAACATAAATAATTTATTCTCTATATGTTACTAGCTTACTAATACTCGTATTTTCGTTTTAATAACTTTCTCTTTTAATACGAGCAGCTTCTTTGATTGTTCTCCTTTTACCATCCGTTTCTTTTAGGACTATATTTGAATCATCCCATTTAATCCTATGTACATTATCCAATGCGTGTTTACATAAGATTTACTGAATTCTCTATTTTTAATTTAAGATTGATGTTCACTTATTCTAACATTTAATGGCCTTGATGTTTCACCTAAATAAAACTGGTCGCATTCGCAAGGTATTTTATAAATGCAATTACTTGTCCTTTCTTGTTTATTGTTAGGTTTTGGTTTTAGACGACATAGATCTCATGTGTTTGTTGCTTTGAATGTGGTTAAAATATTGAATTTATTTCCTATCCTTTTAAGTTGTTGTGATTATCCATTTATGAATGGTATTTTTATTTTCCTCGTATTACTCCTTGTGTATGTTGTAGGATCTCGTTTTAAGTTGATCTGTTCTATTCGGTCGATTGTTGAAAATACCTTATTTATAAACGATAAAGAATAATTATTTTTAATAAAATGGAGGTTAACAAATGTTTTTCTTTAAAAATGAATTTTCATTAGAACAAGTTATTTAGGCTCTATCATATATGGATTTAATGATTCCATTTTAATATTAATATTGTGATTTGATTTAAAATTTAAAAACTTTAAAATGTATAATGTATGTCTGAATTGTCAATCTATATGAGTCAAATAAAATTAAATTATTAGAAGAATTTTTCACCAAGTAACAATAAAACAAAATTTGTGTAATTTACTAATGTTTGTAATTTGAGAACGATTTTCAAAGTGGAAATTGAAACGTCAATAAACTAACTTTGGGCTTTAATTGTGGATTATTCCCATTTAAAAATTAATTACACATAGAATGTCTGGATGGCGTATAATTTTGAAAAAAAATTTATACAAGAGTTTTGTTGTTTTTTTTTTCTATTCGCTACAATGAACATCTCGAGACTTTTTTTGCAACTTTTTTCTGCAACCTCACACAAGTAAGTGTTTGATCTTATCTTGTAAATTATACGATTATGCGATAAAACAATAGAAAATGGGGTGGAATACCAATCATACTGTAAAGATCTTAAAGATCGCAGTTAGATAAGAGGAGAAAAGAAACAAGCAGAATGTTAGCTATTCCATATATTAGCGGAAACCTTTTGCTCTGTACTTACAAAATAGCATCAGTCCAAATCTGCAAGAGTAATATACTTTTAGAAGGGTTAGTAAAGCCTTAATATGGAAGAGAAAGCCAAAATGTGACCTCTCATGTCGATTGAAATCAGACACATAATGTAAAATAAATCTAGCAAGAACAGCTATATAATATCTATGATTGTTACAGCTACCAGTGTTACGAAGAATTGGTCAAAAAATCAAAAAATCACATAATGTAATCGTGTTATTGGGATTACAATCACTTACTTAATCCATCTCAAAGAGATTTAAATTAGTATAGCTAAATTATTATAATTCCAATTCTTTAAAACACTGGCAACTTTAATTACCATCGTTATTGTATTACTGCTTATGTGAGTCAAATTTTAAATCATTATTCTCCTTTTAATCAACATAAGAAGACAGTTTTTGGCCTTTGCTGTTAATTTAAAAAGTTTTAGTAATCCTTATAAAAGAGTATTACCGTTCTCTTGCAGATTTGGACTGATGCTGTTTTGTAAGTACAAAACGAAATGTTTCCGCTAATATATGGAATAGTTGTCTTGCTTGTTTCTTTTCTCTTCTTATTATTTTAATTTAATACAATATCTAATACGAAGGATTGGAGGTAAAAAGAAAGGGAACTTAAAATAAATATACATTAAAATAATCAGATACTTATTATGTAATAATAATAGTAATATAAAAACAACAAACAAATGAAAATAATGTAAAAACTAGTTACTTACAAGCAATTAACAAAGCAAAAACAATAAGCGTTTTCATTTTTGTATTTAAATCTAGAGTATAAAAAGGAATTTAGGTAAATTTCGTATATATATACAAACGTATCCTCTTCAAATAAAACCACCTGTTAGATAAGATTAAAAACTAAATTCCGATATATTGTTGCTATTCAGTATCAAAAAATATTGAAGATTTAATCATCCCAGATGCATTTCTAAAAAGTAAATCCTTTTTCAAATCATGAATGTGTTGCTTGTGTGAGTCCATTTCAAATAGGTAAAGAAATAATAAATAAGACTTACTCACAATCAATTTAATTTAACTATAAGACGACCGGTTTCGCTTTCTACAATATGCAAAGCATCCTCAGGTCTCGATACAAAGTTAAACAAATTCTGAAATAATAAAAACCCATATTAGGGTGTTGTCTAATAACGATAAACAAAGTAGATGTGTATGTAAATTACAATAATTATGCCAATATTACATGTCTGTGGTTTTATTTAAATGAGTTAGTTAAATAAAAAGTATAAAAGTTTTAAAAGTTTAAACAGACAAGGTAAGGCCCACAAATTGTTATAAAATAGTCTCTTCGATTGTAATAAATTAATAAATGAACAAATAAATAAAATAAAATAAAATAAACATTACTTACATGCCGGTACTCTATTAATTGATGGAGTCAATCAACCCATCAATTAATAGAGTACCGGCATGTAAGTAATGTTTATTTTATTTATTTGCTCACTTATTAATTTATTACAATCGAAGAGACTATTTTATAACAATTTGTGGGCCTTACCTTGTCTGTTTAAACTTTTAAATCTTTTATACTTTTTATTCAACTTACTCATTTAAATAAAACCAGAGACATGTAATATTGGCATAATTATTGTAATTTACAACATCTACTTTGTTTATCGTTATTAGACAACACCCTAATATGGGTTTTTATTATTTCAGCATTTGTTTAACTTTGTATCGAGACCTGAGGATGCTTTGCATATTGTAGAAAGCGAAACCGGTCGTCTGATAGTTAAATTAAATTGATTGTGAGTAAGTCTTATTTATTATTTCTTTACCTATTTTAAATCCTTTTTCTTCTTCCAGTGCCGTCTCCACTTATAAAGGTCGGCTATAAACATTGCAAATTTGTCTCCATTCTCTGATTTTCTTAAGAGCGTCTGTGTGTTTAATCCGGTCCAGTGGCGAATGTTTTTCAGTCAGGATATTTGTCGTCTACCACGACCCCATTTTTCTTCGATTTTACTCTTCATAATCAGCTGCAACAACTTGTACTTATGACTTCTAAGTATGTACCCCAAATATGCTATTCACCATATAACACCAATTCATGCGTAGTATGCTCGATCTATGGTATATTCAAAATTCTCCTAAAAAAAATCTCAAAAGCTTCCAGCTTTCTCATTATTTCAACATTTACATTCGAAAACATAAAGAAGAATAGAGTGGATATAACATTTTACTATCCGATATCGTATTTGCAGATTAAGTCTTTGGTTACTCAGAAATTCTCTCATCTTCAAAAAAGATGCTCTTGATTGCTCTATTTTTTAGCGAATTTCTGATCTCGGATTCAGATCTTCGGTAATTCAGACTCCTAAGTATTTCATTTTTCAATGCAGAGCAGAACCTGCTCTCCATTGTGTTAGTTTTCGATTCATTCTATAGTCTTTTTAATTTGTTTGCCGCTTGCGATCTAACGTTTTGCAGTCATGCAATATATTGTTTATTGTTTCATATCTTCTGATACAGAGTCTGCATCTTGTTTTCATGAAACAGGCTCTTTATATAGCCCATTATATGCAGGTGTCCCGTAACTAGCGTATGTCCAGTAAGAAAACCTGTTATGATTTGGCAACTGAAATTTAAAGAAAATCGGAGTGTTCCAAATCATATCCTACAACTAAAAAATCTCTATGAATATTTAGATTTGTTTTTTACAGAGAGCCTTTTAAACAAAATTGTGGAGGAGTCAAATTTTTATGCCTTAGAGCAAAATTGTAACAAACCACTAAGTATACCACGAAGTGACATAAAGCAGTTTATTGGGTTTACAATATATATGTCCCTTGTTAATTTGCACGATACAAGGGGATATTGGTCAGAAGTAATTGATTTTGAGAAAATAAAAATTATTGTCAGTCAACAGGTACGAAAAAATCAGACAATTTTTACATTTCAATAATATAGACAATGCCTTATCCTGTAACAATCTAAACTACATTAGACCAATAATTGATCACCTCAATGAAACATGTTCATTGAAATATTCCATTGGAACGAGATTCCACTACAGAAAGCAGTAACTACCAAGCAAGCCACATAAATGGGGTTTTAAATTTTTTTACTTATGCTGTAGCTCTGGATATACGTATCGTATATATAGAACAAAAGAATGATCAAAAAACGAGATCTGCTTTTGAACCTGACCTTGGAGCAACTGCAAATGTTGTGGCGAGATTGGCTAGAATTATTCCTAGGAATATGAGTCACAGGCATTATTTTGACAAGTATTACTCTTATATACCTCTCCTTGTATATCCTTCCAAACAAGGTATTCACAGTTTAGGAACCGTTAGAAGAAATAGTATTCCAAATTGTAAGCATCCGGATGAAAAGGCTATGAAAAATGAAGAAAGAGGAAGTAGTGTAGACTTTGTTGGTACTTGCAAAGGTGTGGAAATAAGTAGCTTAGTATGGAAAGATAACAAATTAGTTACATTTATATCGACTTTCGCTGGCGAAGTTCCTAAAACTACTACCAATAGATATGACAAGGAAGAGAAGAGAACAAAAGAAATAAGTTATCCATACCTTGTACAAGAATACAACCGTCATATGGGCGGTGTTGATTTGTTGAACAGCAATATAAAACGGATTAAAATTATTCTAAGGAGAAAAGAAAATGGTATTTTACCATCTAATAGTTCTAATCGTTGCTAAATTTTGATTCTTAACAAGAATTCAGCTGAACGTAGAACTGGCGCTAAGCCTAAAATCACACATGCTTAGTTGATATTACAACTGGCAGAAGCATTAGGCACGACAGGAGAGTAATTCACCATTGTAAAAAAGGGAAGACCTTCAGCAAGTGAAACTGAGGAGGCGCTACAAATAAAGAAGAGAAAAGGCCTAGCACAGGTTATGCCAGTAAAGGATGTTTGAATGGATGAAATTCACCATTGGCTTGTATGGTCCAAAAAATCAAATATGTTGCAAATTTTTACAATGCAATCGGTATACACATGTGTTGTGCGAAAAGTGTAGTTTAGCAATTTGCTTCACTAAAACGAAGAACTGTTCAAAATTTTTTCTAAATATTGTTTTAATTATATCCTTAGTTGCATAATGTTGTTCATAAACAACACTTATATTTTTCCAAAATAAAAAAAAATTCTTCAGAATTTTTTAAATTATTTTTTCCCGTAAAAATATGAAAATCCAGTCTGGAAACTTTTTGCAACAAAAAATAAAAAATCATGCAGTAAAGGGTTTTACACGCTGTTCTTTTTCCACAGTAATGGAAATAAAAAATAACCTAAATATTGAAATTAATAATCCACAAACTTGAAATCAAAACGAAAAATTCAATTTGAATGTAGCTTTTTACTAAATATTTCAATTACGATATTAAAGAAAAAACGAAATATCAGAGCTAATCGAGAATTATAAGGAGAGATCGATAAAATATAAATTGTTACCTAAATGCCAGATTGATGGACGGAAATTGAAAATGTAATTGAAAATATAACGACGCTTGTCTGGAAAAGTATAAAAGAAAATTGACAGCAATTGAAAATTATATGAAAGCTAGCTTATAGGATTCTAAAATTGCAAGCGCCATATTATGTAAAATTTATGGAAAAAATGTATGTCTTAAATGTGTAGGTTTTATTTCTTTCGACCCGGTATTATGTATTTTATAGTACAAATTTTAATTCCTTACTTCTTTAATAGAACTTGTTAAATTGTTTTACATGTTCTATTTATATAAACTGTATATATTTATATAAACTGTATAAACTGCTGCAAATATTTTTTACAGAAAATTAAACTGTCTGAAATATAAGAAGAGGCGTTCGACAGGGATGTGTGCTTTCTCCTCTTTTATTTAACATTTATGAGGAAGCCATATTTCAAGAGTCTTTGGAGGATGCAGAGATGGGAATCAAGGTGAATGGAGTATTGATCAACAACATACGATATGCTGATGATGGTGTCTTCATTTGTGACAACATAGTCGATCTTCAACAAACTTGTCACTATAATCGAATAATACAGTAAGCGAATGGGATTAGAGATTAATACCAAAAAGACCAAATTCATGATCATCTGTCCACTGAACACTGTGAACACTGAATACTAAGTCCATTGAAAGAGTGAGTAAATTTAAATACCTGGGATCGTGGCTTTTTGAAAACTGGGCATCGGACAGGAAAGTAAAATGTCGCATTGAGCAAGCTCGACAAGCTTTCGTAAAATTCAAGAAGGTACTGACTTGTTCAGACTTCGATCTTTAACTGAGACTAAGGTTTACTAAGTGCTACGTATGGTCAGTGTTGCTATATGGCGTAGAGGGCTGGTCACTCAAAACGAGAGATATAAACAGATTAGAAGCTTTTGAAATGTGGCTTTATCGCCGTATCCTAAAAATAAAATGGACAGCGAAAATCACAAATATAGATGTCCTTAAAAGAATAAACCAATAAAGCCAACTTTTCGAAACCATCAAGAAAAGGAAAACAGCGTATCTAGGTCACATCATGCGAAATGAAAAATATCAGTTCCTCCGACTTATGGTAGAGGATAAAATTGAAGGCAAGAGAGGAATGGGACGCAAGAAAATGTCCTGGCTCCGAAACATAAGGCAATGGACAGGGATTAACGACATACAATCTCTGATACATATTGCAAGAAATAGAGAATTATTGGAAAATGTGATCGCTAACCTCCATTAGTGGATTTGCATCTGAAGAAGAAGATTTATATAAACTGTATATATTTATATAAACTGTATATAGCCGCAAATATTTTTTACAGAAA